TTCTTCTTCATCCGCTCCAGGTGGGCGCTGGTGTCCTGCTCCTTCTTCAGCTCCTCGGCCATCATGGCTGCCTAATTAGCACATAAGTAAAGAAAATAAGGAAACCTGATAACGGCAGGTGGCAGGTAGCAAATGTGTGTCAGTAAAACAAATGCTCATCTTACATCAGTGATGGCCTTCTTGGCCTTCTCTTCTGCATTGCGTGATTCTTGAATGACTTCTTCCACTTCACTCTGGAGTTGTGAAACATCACTTTCTAACTTCTTCTTGGTGTTGATCAGGCTGGTGTTCTGTAAAAATAGTGGGAATTGGCAAGCTTTATAGTTTGCCCTCTTGGGATTTTATAAATGTCTTACTTGGCTCATGCAAGGGACTAATAGCAAAATTTCAATAAACTTTAAATATTTGTTCAGTACAAAATAGTTATTTACAAGATTGGAGCTCCTCCCTGCTTCCACCATTGCCCAAGGTCCACCTGATTTATGCATAAGGAGTTCTGAGATTTAAAAATGTCTGTAAATTATGTGCTCTCTCAGTTATATTGTGACTGGACATCATGCATAATGTACCATAAAAGGTTGGAAATATTAGAAAAGTTACTCCTTTTGTGAGCGTGGTACTGGGAATTTCTCAGTTGGAAGGAATCTATTCTCTGTGAACTTTCATGCTTTGGTTCCTCAGGGAATGCTGGGTTACTCTTACAAAACATTTTCTTACAATGTCAATCCCTGGTTCTCAAAGGGAAGCACTACTTACTGCTTTAATGGGTACTTGGAAATATTTGGCTTTCAAAGTGACTAAGGGGCGCTACTGCATTTACTGTCTGGATAAGTTAGAGATATTAAACATCCTGCAAGGCACAGGGACAGTAAACACAACAAACTAAATGCTGACGTGCCCCTGATGGGAAATGCTGCAAGGAACATTTTCACATTTGGGAGTCAACAGTTATCTTTGTTCATGATTACTCCACATTGTGGTTTTCAAAATAAAAAAAAAACAAGCCTTATTTTTAAATAAAATGTAATGCCCTCTTTTTGGGGGGTAGAAAATTAATATTTAATTATATTGCCCATATATAATACAGAGAATCCCAGAAACATGTATACACACTTTAAAAGCTGATAGCTCAATTGATGTTTTGTTTTGTTTTTTTCTTTTCAGCCAGACTAAGCTTTGAACAAAGGAAATTCATCCTAAAATGTTACTGGAAGTTTGAAGACACAGTTGAAATTCAAACATTGCCTTTATAATTATTTAAAGTGTGTATACATTTTTTTGGAGGGGAGACACAGGCTGCCCCCCCCCTAAATGTATACACACTGTAACAGCTGATAATTCACTTAATTTTCACTCCTTTTCAGGTTTAACTGATTTGAAATAATGGGTGAAGCAGGACTAAACTTCAAACAAAAAAATTTGTCCACTAGACTTTTTTATGGGGATACATAAAATAGTTTACAGTACAAAATCAGCAACAGCTGATGAATTGAAGGCACACAAATACTGAATGAAATGGTCTTGATGCTTGCGATTCCATTGATTTGCGTTATCAGCAGTGACTATACCAGAGCTGTCATCGGTTTGAAACAGCATTGACAAAAAATTAATTCATTTCTGTAGATATTTTTAAACTGTGAAAATAAACTATATGTTAATGAACTCTTTATAGTCATTCAACATGTGTATACATTTTTGTGGACACCATATTTTATAAAAACAGAGTAATGGCACACTATAATTCCTATTAATCACTTTACAATACACCAGCATTTGTTTGATGTGAGGGTTTCACCTGGGTATGCAGGAGCTGTACACGCTCACTGGCATCCAGCAGCTCCTGTTCTGCGATTTTCCTGCTCCTCTCCGTCTGCTCCAGAGATGCCCGCAGCTCCTCCACCTCGGCCTGCAGCAGGTTGGCTCTGCGCTCAACCATCATCAGCTGCTCCTTCAGGTCCTCCTGGCCCCGGAGAGCGTCGTCCAGGTGTAGCTGGGTGTCCTGTTAAGTACAAAAAGGCCTTAGACACTCTGAAGAGGAGATGAATATCCGTGGAGATGAACTGGGAGAATGTATTGGTACCAAGAACAGGAAATGACAGGCCTCTCATTTGAAAGAGCATGAATATGGTGATGTCACTAACTCACATAAGAAAGACTTATCATGAGACAGACTCCTGTTCCATTTATGACATTAGTTATTTTTCATGTGCAAGTCCTACTATCTATCATTTATGGAACATTTTCCATATGCTCTACACAGTATCTGTTGTCTCATTTGATTCTCACAATAACAGATTCTGAGGGATTAAATAACGTGCCTAAAATCAGGCAGCTAATAAAACTAAAACTCAGTCTCAGGCCATCTGGTGCCAGTCTTGCACTTGCTCTCATATCATAATTTTCTTTAAACATATTCTATGTACATTTAATTTAGTTATCTCCATACAATGAGCTGTATACTTTGTTAAAAGGAAAAAAAGATGGTTTAACAAGAAGGTTTTAAGGGGAATGGAAGACCAGTAACTTGCCTGACTTCTCTGAACTGTTAAATGTGGATTCATTTACCTTCAGGATCCCTTGGGTGTTCCTGTAGTTCCTCAAGCTCTCTGCAGCCAAACGGTTGGCATGGTTCAGCTGGATTTCCATTTCATTAAGGTCTCCCTCCATCTTCTTTTTGACTCTCAGAGCATCATTCCTGCTCCTGATCTCAGCATCTAGCATGCTTTGCATCGACTCCACCACTCTAACGTGGTTTCTCTTGAGCTGGTCAATCTCCTCATCCTTTTCAGCAATTTTCCTGTCAATTTCAGACTTGACTTGGTTCAGCTCCAGCTGGATGCGTAGTATCTTTCCCTCTTCGTGTTCAAGAGATGCCTTAACAAAACAGTTATTGATTAATGATGGAAAATGAATGTTTGCAATATATTTCTTGTGAGACAAACTTATTAATATAAGTTTATGTAATTACACTATCACTATCCACTTTGAGTATTTTCACTGATGTTTTTCTTTGATTTTCACCCCCCAACCACCTAGTAATATATACCTCTGCTTCCTCTAAGGCAGCCTGAATGTCACATTTCTCTTGTTCCACTTGCTTCTTTATTTTCTCCAATTCGTGGATTTGCTTCCCACCCTCAGCAATCTGCTCAGTGAGGTCAGAAATCTCCTCTGTGGTGAACAGGCAAGGGAGAAGTGGTGAGCTGATGGCAACATGGAAAGGACCAGTCAGGCTGTGTTGAATAAGGAAATTCAAGAAGACTCACGCTGCAAGTTCTTATTCTCTCTCCTTAGTGTTTCAAGTTGATCCAGGGATTCCTCGTAGGCATTCTTGATCTTGAACAGCTCAGTGCTGAGAGAACGGGACTCCTTCTGGGAGGCCTCAAGTTCAGCCTGAGTTTCCTCCTGCTTCTGTTTCCATTCTGATAAGATCTGAAAAGCAGTAAATCATCAGCCCATGTCAGGAGAAAAGGAGACTAAGTAAGCATTGATAAAGGTTAAGCAGGCTGGGCCACCTTGTCAAAGTTCCTCTGCTTCTTGTCCAGGGCTGCGCAGGCGGCATTAGATCTCTCCACATCAAGCATGAGGTCCTCCACCTCATTCTGGAGCCTCTGCTTCGTCTTCTCAAGGGAGGCACACTTGGCGTTCACGGCTTCCACATGCTCCTCAGCCTCCTGCAGACGCTGGGCCAGCTTCTTCCTGAAAAGTTAGCCAGGCATTTAAGGACAGTGCAAGCGACAACCTCCTTGGCCTCCTTTCACAGTCCTGTTTCCATGGCAAATAACATGGTTTTCAAAACTGGTAGCCAGAACTACTTCCTAGATTGGTAAAGGGTGATTTAAATCCTTGGTAAATTGTTGAATTCTTAGAGACTGTGTCAGGACTTCTGATTGAGTATGATTGTGCAGAGGACAATTTTATCATTTGATTTATATATCTTAATGTCATTCTAAAAAGTATTTGAGCTGACTAGATATTTTATTGGACAAAAATATACTGAATATATTAATTTTTATCTCAAAGTTTCCATTTTATTTTATGTGCTCTTTCTCTAAAGAATATATAGCCAGTTTCTTCTAATCAAAGTTGAACAATCTCACCAGAGAAAGAAGTTGATGGATAAATCAGGACGATTCATGCAATTTAAACAAAGGCAGGTTCTCCCCCACCCCCCCCCCTTCTGAATCACTTACATTTTAATTTCCTAGTTATATGCCACCTACACATCCTTAAGTTTCAGGCAAGTCTTTAGCCTTGATGCCCAAGAAGACCTACTTGAAGGTCCTCTTTTGTCTGTTCACTCAATTTAGACCAATCCTGGACATTAAGTATTGTTGGATGGCCTCTAACATGAGTTTTAAGAGCTATCTCTTTCTACTGCAATGCTTACAGTGGGCCCTGGAATCAGAATATCTGGTTCTAATCCCAGCTGGAATGTTTATTAATCATATGCCCTTGGATTAATTAGTTAACCTCTCACAGCTTCAATTTCCTCATCTAATGGGATAAGAATAATAATGTTGCTATGAAAACTAAATGAGCTAATGCATTTATAACATTTGACACATAGTATGCACTCAGTAATTGTTAACTTCTGCTATGTTATGTTCCCATTGTCACCAATGTCCTCACAACTGCTTTTGGGAGTTGCTGAGTTGGGCATCTCCTCCCCCAGAATTCATTGTACATACTTGGCTTCCTCCAGCTCCTCTGTGCGCTGAATGGCGTCTGTCTCATATTTGGTCCTCCACTGGGCAACCTCGCTGTTGGCCTTGGACAGCGCCCTCTGCAGCTCAGCTTTGCCTTCTTGCTCCTCCTCATACTGTTCCCGCAGCAGGTCACAGTCATGGCGGGAGGACTGCAGGGCGTGGGCCAGGGCATTCTTGGCCTACAGAGATACTGAGTCAATGACTTAAATTCATTTATTCAGTGATATTTAATTTTACACATTCGGACATATTTAGATATGATTAGCCAAGAAGATCTTAGGTAAAACTCACTTTAGTTTCTTCTTCTAGCTGACGTTTCATATCTTCAATCTGCTGACTAGATACTTGTTTGCTCCTTGAAAGCTGAGAGACTAAAGCATCTTTCTCATCTAATTGTCGAGAATATTCACCTAAGAATAATGTAAATAAAAGGATTTGTTAATGGCGTTAAAATTGGCCTAATACTTTTATATTTATATTTGTACATATCAAATATATACTAAGTATTATAGAACTGGTAAAAACTGGAGATTAAAGGGCAGAGTTGCCACAGGAATGTAACAAGTAAACTTGCTTGCTGATTCTTGCTTATTTTTTTTATTTCTGACCTGCTCAGCAAATTCTGATGGTTTGCTTAATCCACTCTAATATGGAATTAGTGCTATTTATTAAGAACTCTTGGAATTGCTTTTATCTAGTACTAAGTTTCAGGATTCGGAGAAAGGTCTTTACCTGATTCCGTTTGCAGGCGAGCTCTCTGAGCCGTCAGGTCATTGATCAGCCGCTGCTGCTCTTCTTCCTTTGTCTTAAGTTCACTCAGTTGATCTTCCAGTGTGCGGCACATCTTTTCAAGGTTTCCCTATGGTACATTTGGCAGTGACAGGTGAGACATTGTATGCAGTAAAATAAGTTAAAACTTAATTCTTATATTTTTCCAGTGAGTAAATTCATGTTGTGTGAGTAGAAGATTATGGCACCAACTCTGTGGAATATGCTGGGGTTCAAGCATGGTGAGTGCATAGTGTTCCTAAAGAGGTCATTGTTGGAGCCCATTCATCTATCCCAAGACTGATATTAAAGTGGATTTTGAAATAATCTTAACGGGTCAAATCCAGCATTTAAAAAACAAAATATAATGGAATATATTAGAATGGAAAATATTAGGTTAGTGCTATAAACTTCTTGCAAACAATGTTTAATGACAAGGGACAATAGTGTTTTACTAGGTTATTAATTAACATCATTTAGACACAGTATTGGGTACCTTGGCTTTGGAAATGGCCTCTGTGTTACTGCTAAGGTCATCGATCTCCATCTTTAGCTCACTCTTCTCCTTCTCCAGCTTCTGCTTGACCCTCTGCAGGTTGTCGATCTGCTCCCCAAGTTCAGCCACACTGTCCGCGTGCTTCTTCCTCAGGGTGGCCGCTGTGGCTTCGTGCTGCAGGGTGGCCTCCTCCAGGTCCCTGCGCATTTTCTGGAACTCAGCCTCCCTCTTCTTGTTCATCTCAAGCTGGGCTGAAGTTGCCCCACCGGCTTCCTCCAGCCGCTCACTGATCTCCTCCAGTTCCCGGGAGAGGTCAGAGCGCTGCTTCTCTGCTTTGGCTCTGGAGGCCCTCTCTGCCTCGATTTCCTCCTCCAACTCCTCAATGCGAGCCTGGGAGTGACATAAGCACATGAACATACATTCATCTCAATTTCAGGTGTTTTTTTGTTTTTTGTTTTTTGTTTTTTGGTTTTTTTTTGCTGGGGGAGGGGCATACAGAAAAAAGGAAGTGAGATGACTCACCTGTAACTCCTTGATCTTTTTCTGGAGTTGAATTTCTACTGCTTGCTCATCTTCAATTTTGCTTAGCAGATTGCTGATTTCAAATTCTTTCCTTTAGAAAGAAGAACAAGACATATTAGGACCCATATGAATTTGATGATGATATCACATACAAGCGTTTTATTTTTAAAAGCTCCTACTTTTTAAGCTTTTCATCAATTTGCTGTTTGTCATTTTCTATGTCCATTGTGGATTCTTGGGCCAATTTTAGGTCACCCTCCAGTTTCCTCTTTGCTCTTTCTAGATCCATTCTAAGTTTCTTTTCTTGCTCCAGAGACCCTTCAAGCTAATGAGAAAGTAAAATTTGTTTTTAAAAGTATATTAAAAAATCTTTCAAATGTTCATTAAAAATACACTTACATCATCCACTTGTTGCTCTAGCTTGGTTTTAGCTTTGGTCAGAGTGTTGACTTTGTCCTCTTCTGCCTGCAGGTCATCCAGAGTCTGTTGGTGGGCCTCTTGGAGGGCCTTCTTCTCCTTGGTCAGCTTAGCTATGATTTCATCTAGGCCTGCCATCTCTTCTGTGAGGTTTTTCACCTAGAAGGTCAAGGAAGAGATTGTCTCTACTATAAACCAGCTTATTGGATGGTAAAATCTCTATGTAGTATAGCACAGTGGTTGGAAAACTCATTAGTCAACAGAGCCAAATATCAACAATACAACAATTGCAATTTCTTTGGAGAGCCAAATTTTTTAAACTTCTTCTAATGCCACTTCTTCAAAATAGACTTGTGCAGACCATGGCCTTTTGTGGAAGAGCCACACTCAAGGGGCCAAAGAGCCATATGTGGCTCGTGAGCAGCAGTTTGCCGACCACAGGTATAGCAGAATATGTCTCATACCTTGTTCTCTGTGGCATGTTTCTCCTTTTCAACCTTGGCTAGTGTCAACTCAAGGTCATCGATGTCTTTCTTCAGTTCTGAACATTCGTCCTCCAGTTTCCTCTTTTTGGCTGTCAGCTCAGCATTGATCTCTTCCTCATCTTCGGCTCTCTCAGTCACCTCTTTGATTTTGGCCTCCAGCTGGATTTTGTTTTTAATCAGTTGCTCACACCTTTCCTCTGCATCAGCCAAGCTATCTGCTTCCTATGGGGAGATTCAGTGAGATATTAGAGAACTTGTTACTTATTTGGAACTTGTTCTTTGCATTTTGATGTATTTTTCAGTATGAATATAAATTAAACTCAATTGAATATTATTACATGTCCTGGAGAAATGCAGCTAATTAGAAGTGAGACTATAGATGTAGAAGCAAATTAATCTGCAAATGAATGGACTGAAGAAATTGACTATTTTAGAAAGCAGTGTGTAGAAGAGTGAAAAAAAACAAAGAAAGCTTGGGTTCTTGTTCATATTTGCCTGCATATGTATGACCTTCATTGCTTTATTCCTCCTATGTTCAATTATATTATACTAGGGGCCCGGTGCATGGATTTATGCACCGGTGGGGTCCCTTGGCCTGGCCTGCACCCTCTTGCAATCCAGGACCCCTTGGAGGATGTCAGATAGCCAGTTTTGGCTCGATCCCTGCAGGCCTGATCCAGACAGAAGGGAGCCTAATCCTGTGTGTTGAATGACTGTCCCCTGGTGGTCAGCGCACATCATAGCTACTGGCTGACCAATCATTTGGTTGTTTGGTTGCTTAGGCTTTTATGTACACTGAGTGGCCAGATTATTGTGATCTCTGAACGCATAATAATCTGACCACTCAGTGTACTTCTCTTGAGTACCTCATTTATTTGATATCAAAGGTACTATAAATCATGCCATTGACCATACCTTCACAATGCCTCCCAGCCAATCAGGAGTGAGTATGCAAATTAACCTGACAAAGATGGCAACAGTCTTGCCCCCCCCCCCCCAGCTGCTCTGGGCCTCTGGGCAGCATGCAGAGCATATAGAGCAGTTGGGCAGGGCGGGACACCTGCTATGAGAGGGAGAGTGGGGATGGAGAGAGCTATAAGAGCTACAGGCTTGGGAGCAAAGACTGAAGGTGGTGGCCAGAGCAAAGGCCTGGGTCCTGGGTGCCGGAGGAAAACCAGTGCCAACAGCTAGGGGAAGGAAGGCCCATTGCATGAATCTCTTTGTGCAACGGGCCTCTAGTAGAGGTTAGAAGGGGGTTAGAAGAAATGATTGTTAAGAGCATTTCAGCTGTAATAACTCCTTTCTGAATTAATAAACAAGCTTTAAGAACTCGGCATCTGTATCAAAAGAAGAATTTTATAAGGTACTTCCCTCTACCTTATATATTGGTAGTTCAAGTACCCAGATAAATTCATTGAGCTAAATCTTGGGAAGGAAAGAGAGCTGAGGAAAAGAGATACAAAGAGGAATGAGAATATTGTGTTTCTTGAATGTAAATACAATCTCTACACTTGCATTTAGAAAATAGAGCTATATATTAAGGCTGGGATAAAGCAGACAAGGCAAAAGGAGGAAATGAAATTTGGGGGCTTGCCTTTAAACTAATTTCTTCATGTTAAATTTGTGACATGTAAATGCATTCTTTGATCTTTTCTTTTCCATATGCCTTTTCATAGGAATATTGTAAGTTAAGTGAAATACTAAAGGGAAAATTGAGATTTTCTTTTTCAAGAAAAGGTCATTTGTAAATCCAAAGTATGTATGAATTCCAGAAAAGCTTCAGTGACATGGTACATTCAGAATACGGAATACTCACAGATTGAACCTGGAGTTGCAGGTCATTTTTCTCTTTTAAGAGACTGACCATTTTTTCCTCCAGCTCCTTCCTCTTTGCCTCTGACTTGGCCAGTTCATCCTTGGTCTTCTGGAACTCTTCCTTCATGGTGGCCATCTCCTTCTCTGTCTCCGCACTCTTGAGGAGGGGCTTGATCTTGAAGAAGAGCTTCATCCAGGGCCAGTGCTTGACGTTCATGAAGGCGCGGACATTGTACTGGATGCAGAAAACGGCTTCTCTGAAATGGCACAGAAATATCAGTGTAGACTTATCTATTAGATACAATGCTATTATTTTTTATATGAAAACTCCCCTTTTAATGACCCTCCACATATAAATTATATGTTAAATTATGTATATGATATATGCAGGCTTTACACATGTGTATGCACATCTTCACATTCACACTTATAATAATCCTCAGTATAACTGCTTTGCTCATGTGTGCTGATTATATTTAACAATTCTGCATTTTCAAGTCCTACCAAACAAGCAAAGAAGCTGACTTTAGAGAGGAAATACTTTACATGAATGAACATCATGTACCACTTTAAGATCATCTGAGATACTATATTAGTGATTTGGGAGTGGATGTGGCAATTGTAAATTTATTGAGCTGCTTGTCTGTTGGCATATGGATGTGAATTATGAAATGGCATAGGTTGCTTTCTGAATTGCCTTACCTAAGTTGAGCTTATGATTTATCATGTCTTCTTTGAAGCCTCTCTTCTTATTTAATTCACCACTGAATTATTCACTCTATAAATTTATTTTGTTAACTTCAGATAATATACTGTCTTTTCTCAAATTATTTGAAAAGCTTCATTGTTATTTGCTCATTATATTTTTAATATCTTCAGGACATTTAACACAGATTGAGCTCCAAAA